AACCAATATGGCCAGGGCCACGCCCAGGACCAAGGCCATGAATGATCCCCCACACGGCCATCTTCGACATGTCGGCCGACTCCAACTCTGATTCCAGCTTCTGGCGTTCTGCCAACCCCCTCGTCGCCCGCCGGGATCCCGGGAGTCGGCAGAACACCAGAAGCTGGAATCAGAGTTGGGGTCAGCCTGCAAGTCGAAGATGGCCGTATGGGGGATCATTCATGGCCTTGGTCCTGGGCATGGCCCTGGCCATAGTGGTTCTTCTGGTGCGGTGGTGCAGCAAACGCGAAGCGGACCGTGGGTCCACCCTTGTTCATCCTCTCGAGGTCTCGAGAGCGTGAACCATGGCGGACTCACGGTCGGTGTGACGCCTACTGCACCACCGTACCAGCATCGCCATGCCCAGGACCATGCCCAGGGCCGAGGACATGAAGATAATGCCCCATACTGCCATCTTCGACTTGTAGGCGGACTCCAAATCCGATTCTAGCTTCTGGGGTTCTGCCAACTTCCTCGTGGCCCACCGGGATTCCGGAAGTTGGTAGAACGCCAGAAGCTGGGATTAGAGTTGGAGTCGGCCAATAAAAGTCGAAGATGGCCGTATGGGGCGTCACTCACGTTCATGGCGTTGGTCCTGGGTACGGCCCTGGCGATGCTGATGCGGTGGTGCAGTAAGCGCGAAGCGGGGCGTGAGTCCGCCATGGTTCACGCTCTCGAGGTATCGAGGTTAGCGGTGGCCACGGAAGCGGTCGTGCTTGCCGAGGCCCAGCGAGGCGTGAGTACTTTGTCCAGGGGTGCCGTAGCATGCACGTCAGGCGAAGCCAGGCCGATAAGGTCAGTGCAATCGAAACACACTCTTCCATCGATAATTCATGCTCATTTCTTATTAATATACTCTTGCCATTTGGCCGCATTGCTTCCACTCTGAACAGTTTGGAACCCAGTCAGAGGGACTTGTTTTACGTTCGTTTGAATGGTTTGGAAAAGGTAATCCTGGTTCACATATGTTTCCCCTACTGCTTGGTTCGTGTGCCTCTTCCTTGAAGATGCTGCCTAGGAACGGCATCGCGGTTGTGGAACGTAGCAAAGGGTAGCGGGAGCAAGGTGCAGGGTCTGGCGTGCGGATTTCCAAGCCAAACACTTTGTTTCTACGACATCTTCAACCGTTCCGGAAAAGGCTTCCACTTGCCCCTTGATAACCCTGTCAGCCGCCCCCTGTAGCATCCTATAATGTCCAGGTCTAAGAATTTCCGCGAGAGACACGGAAGCCTTTAGGACTTAAGAACCGTGAATATTGTAATCAACTTTCTTCACGTGGAAATCGATCATTTTCAGGGTTGTGCTTCAGAATAATCCACAGGACGGGGGTGGCCGACATGGTTACGAGGGGGGGAATGGAAGGTGAAGTCAAACGGATGAGGCCCTGTCACAGCTGCCTGCTTCTGGTATTCGACCCGTTTTAACATCTTGGTCGTTTCTCTGCAAGTCATTTTCGACCAAGGCCGATCCAACGCCCGCCCTGTGGGCGTCTGCCCTAGTCTCGAAAATAGACGCATACAGGGCGAGCAATGCATTGGCGCAAGTCGAAAACGACGTCCAGAAAATGACCAAGATGGTAGCGCGGGCCGAAGTCCAGACGCAGACAAGTGCTGCGACAGCGTCTCACACGGTCTGATTTTTGCACGACGGTGGGCGTTCAGCTCAGCGGAAACAATGCAGCTACATAACATCTCTGATGGTCTCCCGGTATGTTTTAACATCACTCTCACTCCCGAGTTTGTCGACGGCCGCACATCTACCCGCACCCCCACCTTCCAACGCTGCTATGCAGCACGAGCGCTTGGGGCTCCTCGAGGACATTCGCCACCCCACACCGCCACAAGCAGTGTGAAGGTGCCCCACCAACGTCGATGTCGCCGCCAAATGAATCGACCAATTTTGTTTGTAGACGGACGACAATAACGCGGGCATTTAAACGCATCTTTCCACCCACCAATTAAAAACCTGGCTCACCTTACTGACAAAACGCGACGACGAACCCACTGCTTCATATTCTACACCGGCCACGAACGAACTCCAAGTCATCAGGGAGCAACGACCACGATGATATCAGATCGATCACACGAGCAACAATCGCATTGTCAACCCAGAAACGCCCACCAATCAGCAAACGGCGACACGAACACATCGTTATCAACATCAAGAAACTCATCAAGTCAACGGAGCGCCTCACTAGGACGTATGGAGGGATCATCCAGCGATCTAGAAACCTACACCCTAAGCAACACAATGTACCCCCTCCCACACGAGACAAATCAGCATGTGTGAATAAAATTAACTGAGGTGAGATCGCCACTATCTTGGTCATCAACGACGAAACTATTACCTTGATTATTACAGGAGCGGTAGATCCCATCGGGCAAAACCGAATTCACCAATAGTTATATGGCGGGCAC